CTTTTGATGTCGGGCACACAGTAGCATGGTGGTTAATTTTTATCTGTGAAACATCTAACCAAAACCATTTCTTGCATAATTAAAAGATGCTAATTTCCATCTTCAAATCCACTCAGTTTATTATTTGCCTATTACGTGACAGAGAGATGGAGACAGGAGAAAAGAGAAGAGGAAAAAGAAACAAACAGATCCCCTATATTTTCTGTCATGGTTTTGACAGGATTGTGGCACTGTCGGTGTGTGGGAGCTGAGTAAACCTCACAGATACAGAGAAAAAAACAACAAAGGGAAGCCATAAGGCAAGCAAGACAGTGGGAGATCCAGCCAAGCTCAGAGCGAGAACCATGTGTGGGAAGAAACACCCACTCCAGGTGGGCTCTCTTCTTTCACTGCCAACCTATATATACAGTACTACTGTGATGTAAACTGACAAAAGAGGAAAAGAAATGCTGTATAACAGTTTAATAAGAAGGAACTGAAATTGCTGGGTGTTTTAACTGCCAAGTCTCTTTAGCCACTTAATTTACCCCCTTGTGATTTTTTTAAATGTTTTTTTAACTGTTATGTTAAAACATTTTCAAAACCAGAAACATTTTCATATTAATTTTGCTGTAGAGGATAAATGTTGCTTATTTGCGTCTTTCTCAAGGTCAATTTAACACCTCTAGCTTTCATGACCTCTGAAAACTTCTGACATGTTATTAAAAGCAGACACTTTTTGGTTGGTTTTAATTCATTAAAACAAAAGTATCCCGACTAGAAGTGAGTGTTATCTTACCCAGTTTGACCTACAGATACACAAATGACACAAAACAAGGCCTGTTTCCATAAAAACAAAAAGGTGTTTATGCATTATCATCAATTGATGATGGCATAAACTCCTAACGTGACATCGTAACTGTTAGTCAGACAAGACAATATTACTGCAAATCTCATTTCCTACCTAGAAGGGCTGGGTTTTCAGCAGTTATATTTGCATGCTAAAAATCATGATGAGTCGGTTTGAAACAATATTTTGCATCCACTATTTGCTAAAGTCATTTTTGAAACTGCAAACTCCCAATTCCCTCGCACTAAAGATAAATATGCTACCTCAAGGGTCACCAAGTTTCTGTGACACAAGAGAACTGCACAGACTTCAATTTCATTTTTGTACAAAAACACTGTGCATCATTAATGACTGAACTGCTGGCTAAAGCCCAAAACTTCCCTGATCCCTGCGGATCACAGCAGCACGACGAAGAACAAGGAGTCAGATTTGAGCCTCGAGAAACACCAACAGATGCTGCCTAGCTCCAGATGCCATACCGTGCCTTTTACCATAACAAAAATCATGTGACCTGCCTGTCACTATCCAAGCGAGAGAGGATGGGAGGGGAAGAGAGGACTTATCACAACTTGCAGGGGGTCCAAGCCATGTAGAGCATTAATAACAACACAGGCACTGTGTTATGGAAATACCAGTACAACACAGGGCCATCTGGAGCAGAGGAGGATCCGCAGCTTCATTAAAAGATCAACAGGGTTACACTGTCAGCAATGTCCAGCACCGTGCAAGAGATAAGCTCCTGTAAATGGAGGAATTATTGTCCTTGATCAACTTAGCTGCAGTGTTGCCACATAATCACAGCACAATTTAGGGAGAATCTCAAAAACTCATTTGGTGACCCAGACATTAAATTGAACTTATTTATTTCAATTTTATTTATATAGCAAGCTGCTTTGTATTGCAAGATAAAGACAATCCAACAAAGAGAAACCCACCAATCTGAGGGTCCTCGATACGAAAGCACTTGACAATAATGGAGCAAAAGATCTCCCTTTTAACGGCCCTCCAGTGGATTCATGGAGGGGCAGCAATGCAAACTCCACAAAGACTCTGTGATAATATGTATCAGTCATGCCCTATGTTACAGTGGCACAAATCAAATATCAGCCATTTAAATCAGCTGTGTTGGATCAAGGACACATCTAAAACCTGCAGGACACCGGCCCCCGAGGCCTGGAGTTGTCCACCCCTGTGTTAAACGGTTTTAATGATATGACACAAGAGCCCCCCGCCACAGAGGGGACAGAGATAGTAAGGGATATTTATACCATGGAAAGGATTAAGAAAACTGGGATTAACAGGTAAATGGGATTAATTTATGGGTGAAATATGTTAAACCTATTAAATTGGTTTTTAATTTTCTTATTGTTTTTTTTTTTTACTCT